TTCTGCTACCAAGATATATCTCAATCTACAGTATATCTCTGGATTGTCTTTATAAGAGGACAAACTTTTTTATTAGTGACATTTTGAGAAAAATGCATTTTTATAAAGATTTTTGCTGGTTCTGTAATGGTTAATCCTATTTAACTTTTCCAAATTTTCAGACCGTGTTAGAGAAAATTAAAAAGAAAATATGGTTAAATTTTTTCCTATTAAGTCCTAAAAATTTCTATGGTACCTAATATAAACTAGATTTTATTCTTTGATAGATGGGTATTATTACTTTTTATTAACGTCATAGTCTAAGAGCTAGCAACGTTTTCGAGAAAGTATTTTAAGACGTCTGGCTCTTTGATATATCTTTTACTATGCTCTCTGGAACAGCATGCGGCCCGTTTGGCTGCCGATACCCGTTGAGTTCACTACTGCGCATTGGAAGAAGATCCTATATTTTTTATTAATTTAGCCCTATAAAATCTAGTATTGAATATAAACCGAACATGTATCCATAGCGCAGTGAGTTCGAATCCGGGTCAGGGCAAAGACTTTTTTATTTTATTTTCGTTTATATTCTGATAGTAAAGTATTAAATAATTCTGGTAATTAAAAAAAAAACAAATATTTAATACTTTACTATTAGAATATAAACGAAAATAAAATAAAAAAGTCTTTGCCCTGACCCGGATTCGAACTCTGAATCATCGGTTCGTGGTCGGAAACTCTACGCACTGCGCTATGGAGATATGTTCGGTTTATATTCAATACTACAATTTAAAGAACTAATAAAAATATAGGATCTTCTTTCAATGCGCAGTAGGGAACGCAACGTTTACCGACAGCCAGACGGCCCGCATGCTGTTCTAGAGAGCATAGTAAAAGGTATATCAAAGAGCCAGACGTCTTAAAATACTTGTTTTTCCGACGTTGCTAGCTCTCGTACTATCATATTTTTGCTGTTGTTAAAGTATTACATTTTCCGATAACTATTATCACCCTTTCCGTAGCATTGAACTAAATAAATTTTGTACGTCTTTAGCATGTTATATCAGAAAAAAAATTGACATTAATTAAAATTCTGCCAATAATAATCTATCAAGGAATGAAAACAAAATTATATTACTATAAAAACGCCAATTACTATATATACTACCAAACCATATTTTTCTATCATGTTTTTTTTTAATTTTCTCTAAAACGGTACGAAAATTTGGAAAGGTATGAACGGATTAAGCATTTTAGAACAAGCAAAAATCTTCTTGAGAATGAATTTTTGTCAAAATGTCACTAATAAAAAAGTTTGTCCTCTTGTAAAGACAATCCGTGGACATAGTATATGTCTACAATTTGAAATAAAAACTTGAATTGTAATTGTGGTATTATGTGGTCTGGTGGTCTTTTATTGTTTTAATTTTGATGGCAGAAACAATTCCGACAGTACGAAATTAACGAAATTCAGCAGCAAATTAAAAAAATATTTTTTAAAAACTAAAAGCTAGAAACCCTGCCTATTCAAATTTATTGTCTTTTAATATTGTGGGCTAATGTAGTTTTTGTACTTCGTGAAATCAGAAGCTCCAATCCGACGTTTATAATTTTAATAGCGAGCTGTCAGTGTATAGAGTACATGGGCACACGAGTCAGCTGAATGTATAAAATATCGCTATATATTGCGGGGAACAAAGGGTGCGGGTGGTAAAGTTTGACCAATTAGATCTTATCCATTAGGTTGCGTATCTTCCCCAATTCTTTCAATCAACGGTTTAAGTTTTAGCGTGAGATAAGAAATTTGCTGATGTTTTTGTGTATTAACTTTAAGTCTATGGATGATATAATGAAACGTTAATTCTGGAGCACCCTGTCATTGCAGAGTGTCCCACTATTTGCAATATTATAAAATGGATTGTAATAGTCCACCTAAATTTGAGAAATTTCAAAATATTCATATAAATAATGACATCAAGTCGACAATCTCTTAAATTGACAAGACAGTTTTAAAATATAAACAAAATGGACTTAATGGACTTAAATAAAACAACACCACTGTTTAAAAATACAGAATTTTTTTTATTATTATTTTTTACAATATTTTATTATTATTTTATAAATATAAGAAAAACATTTTTCTGTGATAACGTATACGATCTTTCTATTTTAATTGGACTATTACAAGTACAGTCCTATTGCAAATAAATGTCACATCCTGTATATTTTACATCAGTAAATATCATGACACATTTACGAGATATTAAATTTTTTATGTTTTATATAAAAAAAACACTATATTATATGTATCCATCCCTGTACAGATTTGTTTATTATTCTGCACACATTTGCATTGAGTTAAAATAAGTGTTTTGCTAAAACGCGCAATAGCGTATGATCGGGAAAAAAAGCGACGTCGAGGTAGCCTTTGACATAATAATCGATGGTTACATCTGATACGTCGATCGATATAAGAACAAATATATTGTGCGTGTTTTCTATTTGAATATTAATTTTTAACTAATATTTCTGTCATTTTTAATATAAATTGAACACAAATTAACTACGTTTTTAAATAAAACAGAATGTTGCTGATGCTTTGAAAATAGGTATTTCTTATACAGTTTAAGAAGTACGAGTATATTTAATATACGGGGTTGTTCATATACGATTCCATATACGATATGCAGTATTGTAGCTAAACGATGATATTTTTACAGATTGTAAGTTTGGGGTTCGTTGAAGGACTATTAGAGCTACAATTTAAAAATATTTTTACAAGATACTGAGTGTCCAAATAAATAAAACATATCAAAGTTGTATTTTCTTAAATGGAACACCCTGTATATTATTACATTTTTAGTTTCTACGATTAAAATAAAGGTAAATTTGATTAAGGTTTATTACACTTAAACCTTACCGTTTTTTGAAATATTTTCAATTTTGTAAAATTGCAGTAAAAATTTTAAGGCTTCATTTCTCCAAGGGTATCAAAGTTTTTAATACTAAATATTTACTGAAATTTATTGATTGATTAGTTATTGTGTTGCAATAATAAAAATAATACTACCTTATACAGAGTATCTAAAAATTTATTTTAAATAATTATTAGCTTTAAACGGCAATAACTTGTTTAATTTAAATAGAACACCCTGTATATTTTATAAGAATCAGATGCACGATTTAATTGTCTATCAAATTGTATTATACCATTTTTTACCTGTCTCTTTAAGTCTCCGTAGAAAATGCATTTTCTTGTAATTTAGAACTTATTTATCAATATACCCATGGAATACTGACATTTTAGATTTTATTTTTAAAGATGTACCAAATTTTTAAAGAGTAGAGTTGCTAATATTGTCAATATAATTCGTTTATTTCATTAAAAAAATAAAAAAAAACTGTTTAAATATTTGTTAAAGAGGACCAATTAATATGATTCCGGTATTCAAATTACATTAACTGGCTGTTTGCGTCGATTAATAATAATTGTCCCAAATACTAAAAAACTGAGTTTTCTATGTGTATTAGTCAGTGTGGTAAAAACTAACACCTTAAAAATGATATTTCATTTTTTAATAAATGCTTATTTGTAACAACAGAGACGTTCATTTTCATAACTTATTACTATATTGATTTGTGATTCAAATCCACATTTATTTAGAATAATTTATTAACGAACTCAATTAAGTATGTAATTAATTAGTATTTGGGCGGAAATAATAGTGTTATATTTAATTAGGTAATGGTATACTCTTTTATAAAGATTTAAATAAATTTCTTTTTTGCATACAAATGGGCTAGTAATATTATCGTTTTGCTAAAAATCATTTTGTACATTTGTTGCTTTAAAAACAATCTAAAATGTCAATATTCCATGGGTATATTGATAAATGAGGTCTAAATTATAAGAAAATGCATTGTCTACGAAAACTTGAAGGGATAGGTAAAAAATGGTATAATACAATTTGATAGAAAATTAAATTGTACATCTGATTCTCTTAAAATATACAGGGCGTTCCATTTAAATTAAAGAAGTTATTGGCGTTTAAAGCTAGAAATTATTTAAAATAATTTTTTAGACACTCTGTATGAGGTAGTATTATTTTTATTATTGCAACACAATAACTGATCAATAAATAAACTTCAGTAACTATTTAGTATTAAAAACTTTGATACTCTTGGAGAAATGAAGCCTTAAAATTTTTACTGCAATTTCACAAAATTGAAAATATTTCAAAAACGGTAAGGTTTAAGTGTGATAAACCTTAATCAAATTTACCTTTATTTTAATCGTAGAAACTAAAATTCTAATAATATACAGGGTGTTCCATTTTAAAGAATACAACTTTGTTATTTTTTATTTATTTGGGACACGCTGTATCTTGTAAAAATATTTTTAAATTGTAGCTCTAGTAGTCCTTCAACGAACCCAAAGCTTACAATTTGTAAAAATCTAATAGTTTAGTGAATAATACTCCGTGTCGTATGTGGTGAACAACCCTGTAAATTTAGGCATCTTTAACTTTTAGAAAGAATATTTTGTTGTATATAAACTCAAGTTGTTTCATAAGCTTATTTTTAAAATAGGTACGAGTTATCTAGGAAAACCTGGTATATTCGTCTAAAATTATTTATTGAAAAACTATCAAAATGAATAAAGGCCTAACATATCCACATGAATTTAATAAAAACTGAACTCGGTCAATTAATAATTTCAGAACGTACTTAAAATTTTTTTGACATATAAAGATGACGTAACGTTGAACGATCGTTGAACAGACTATATAAGGATATATTCGGGAGAAATTATCATCTATTACCTTATTAAAGGCTATTGTGACTCCTGTTTTTTTTTCGATCATATTTTTTAATGTATATTTTAATAACAATAACTCAAAAATAATTTAGTAATACACTGGCTATCTAAAACAAATTCTCAAACCAAACATTTCCTTTTTTAAATCACCGAAAATATACTAATATACCTCGCACAAATGTGCCATTTCCTCCTGTTGCAGTACAAGCTGGAGTTCCGAGGCAGCGGCGGCGGTTCGGGACGGGGCATGGGCGGCGAGGGCAGCTCGTCCAGTGGCGGAGGCGCGACGGGAGACAGCAAGGGCGGCACGGCATCCGGCTCCGATCAAAGCTTATGACAGTTGGGGATGTCCAGACGCAACAAGGGAGACTCGAGACGCACTCGGGTATCGTTCTTGTTGTTCTAGGACATCAAAAAACAAGGGAAAAGTCCGATTGTATGCCAGAGTATACAGGAAGGTTGTTATTTTGTGTTATATTTTTTTTATTTTATATTTCGTTCTTTTAAAATCAGTATACTGTCCTGGACATTTTATCTTGGTGGCCTCTTTTTTAATACATGCGACAAAGATAAAAATAAATGACGGGTTGACAGACAGAGAGACAAAATAAAAAGCGGCATACAGTGTTGCCGGTTTTTACGTGTATAGGCCGGGATGTGTGTGGATAGGTAATTAACTTCGCATTATTTTTTCTTAAACTTAACTTTAACTTATCAATTATATATAAAAGCAAATATTAAGAAAATGTTACAATTCGTCTTTGATTCCTTACATCAAGGCAAAATCATATTTAACGCTTCAGGACTTTGCGTGGGGTATTTTAATACCTGAAAAAAATTATTAAAACCAAAGCAATCAAAACTCAGCTGTATGAATGAGTTTGAGGGGCGTGAGTATCGAAGATGAATTGTGACGTTTTCTGAATATCCGCTGGTTTACAACTGGCTTTTTTTCGGTTTATTTTTTTGCTTCGCTTTGATCCGGCTGGATAGAGAGGTTGTCCGTTGAGGATGACAGCGTCTGTACGTTTTAAATGTATTTGTCAGACTCTGTAAACTTTCACACAAGGATTGGTACTCTTTTTCAGTAAGGTTTATGAATAATAACTGTGATAACCTCTTGTATTTTCTGGTATATTACATTATAACACTTATGTATACTATAATTTGTTAATATAAATGTATTAAGACATACAATTATAATGCTCCTGTTGTCACTAAACATATAGCTTTATTTTTTTAAAGTTTGTTTTTTATAAAAAAATGTGTAATTCAAACAGATATATGAATATTAAGTATTATTAAAAATTTATTTATTTTTGGTGCAACAGGACGTTATAAAATTATATTAGTTATTATATTAAATAATATTTTTGTAAATTATAGGTAGTATAGCTCATAAAAGTTAATTTGATTTTATAAAACATGAGATACAAGGTTAAATAATTGATTAACAAAGAAAAGGTGTTCATACCAATAAAAATTATGCAATAAAAGCTTTAATTTTTTATTGTAATTATTTCTCAGTAATTACAAATGTCAGTCTAAACAATTTCAATCTATACTGTTTTAAGTATTATTATGAATTGCATGATTTAGTTTATTTTGATGGAAATTGGAATAGATAAGAAACTTTGAAATAAGAAATTGAAATATACTCTTAAGGTACATTCAGGCTGAGAGCGTCGAGCGTCGCGTCGTGTTTGCGTCGCGTCCGCGTGTCGAAATGGAATTAATTCACTTAACTTAAATTAGACCGTTCCGGCAGACAGCGTCGCGTTTGGCGTTGCGCTAGCGTCCGCTGAGCGTTGGGGTTCGAGTTCAATGGGGTGGACGCGACGCAAACGCGACGCGACGCTCGACTGTACCTTTAGTGAAATGTTTGCAATCATTAATTTTCATTACGAATTACTGGTACATGTTGAATTGAAGATTTAATTCAAACAAACCTCTATGACTATATATCCGTAGGTATATTTGGCAAAAACTTATGAATATAATAGAAGTTCCCAAGCTGTGCCAAATTTTATTAAAAACGGCATAAGTGTGTTGATATATTACTAAAAACAGATACCATACGATCGAAAAAATCTGTCAAAAAGAACTGTTAAATTACAACCGGTGATAATTTTTATTGGGTCAACCTTTATATGCTTTTTATTAAAAAACTTGTCAAAAATTAATATTTAAGATAAATCTAGTCAGTAAAACATGATTTGATTAAAATAAAACATGATTGAAAAATTCAAGGCCGTGGTGTGTCACGACATGACCTTGACCATGCTTTGACGCACAAGCTAGTGAGGAAAGAAAGTGGTAAATATTAGTGATGGGAAAACCGATTAATTTCAATAATCGAGTACTCGAGTATCAAGCGATTGCAATAACCGAGTGATCACTCGAGCGATATATCGCTCGTATTTAAAAATACGGTTTTTTGTCCGTCGCACGTTGTAAGTACTCGTAACGCCAAGCGCCAAGCAGTAAGCTGCGTGCACAGGGCACATATTCTTTCGGTAATGAACGGCAAGTAGTAAGCGGCGAGCGATTTGCTTGATCACCTGATTTAGTTTATTTCGAAGCATTGTCGATGTAGATCGTAAAAATTTGTCTCTCAGATACGCAACGGATAAATATACCGGGTGCGTCTCAAAAGTAGATCACCCCCTATAACTTTTTTATTTTTTCAGATAAAACAACGATATTTGGTATGTTAGTATATGACATAAATTAGGATTGATTGACATATTCAATTATTTTCGGTCACTTCCGGTTTTCACCGGAAATGACTGCAACTTTTGATTTTTAAATCGCACCCTCGGTATTTTTTTACTTTATTCGGTAGAAAATGAGACTCTGAATAGAATGACATATCACATGTCAACTTATGACATTTTCGCATATGGTTTATTTGAAATTGTAATATGCGGTTCATAACGACAATTTGACTCGAAGTACCAAGTGTGTGGTATCAAATTATTTGAAAAAAAAAATATTTTTCGAAATATGCTAATGATCCACCCTCGTTCCATTTGAAAAAAAAAAACGAGATATGATCAAAAATACGATTTGGGCATCTTTTAACCGGCCAGGGCAAGACACTTAAAACACTAGACGATCAAATCTATTTTTCCAAGGCTTCTTGATTAAAAATTAGTGTTTTTAACACAGCCATGGCACTCTAGATTGAAATTTAAAATACAATTTGTTTTTAAGCGAATATGTCAAAAGGTGGTATATGATACGTCATTGTATTTAGAATATCATTTTCTATCGAATAAAGTAAAAAATACCGAGGGTGCCATTTAAAAATCAAAAATTGTAGTCATTTCCGGTGAAACAGGAAGTGACAGAAAACAACTGAATACGTCAATCGATCCTAATTTAAGTCATATACTAACATACTAAATCTAAAAAAATCTAAGAAAATAAAAAAGTTATAGAGGTGAGCCACTTTTGAGACGCAACCGGCATATACGGCGTCGTATAAATTTGCTACCTGCAATGTATGTAGAAAATTCGCTCGGCTTTTTATCGAGTATGTCACATTAAAATCGGATTTCAATTTATTTCATTCTAGGATCGCTTGCGTTCGTCGCTTCGTACTCATCACTTGCATCGCTCGTTCATAATCGAGCGATGTCGGTTATGTCGATAATCGAGTACTCGAGCGAATTTTCGCCATCACTACTTCAAACCAATAATCAATCTTTATCCCATCACTACTTCAAACCAATAATCAATTAAGGCATTTTTGTTGTACAAGAAGTTGTACAATATTTTTTTTTACAAATTTTTATGTCAATTTTTAATTAAAAAAATATAGACTTAAATTATCATCAATAATTGTAATTTGAACGGTTACTGTGTTTTTTTTTCTATTTTATGGTATTAAATAAAATAGTCCCTAACTTTATAACCTATTTATTCAACTATGTCTTATGTTTGATGTGAGATATTTTAAAAACCTAGCTAAAAAATTTATAGAACATTTTAATTTACAAAAAAATAATATTTGTATTTTTAAGATATTTAGTTTTTTTAATCGTTAAATAGTTATTTATTATTATAAACCTAGGAACATAAAAACAATCATCAAAAATGACTGCATTAAATATAATCTAACACAAATCACCTCTTAGGCTATAGAAGAAAAAAATAAATATAGGAACTAACAAAAAAATTAAATGCGCCGTTAGTGTTACTAGATAGAACCAAATAAAAACCTACTTGCTAAATAAAAAAAAATAATTCAGTGATAATATAACCTCAAATAGTTGTTTGAGACTATCTAGTTCTTTATGGAGACATACTGTATATACGTAGATTTTTATATAATGTTGTTTATAATTTGAAAATTAAATATGTGTACGTGTCGTGATAAGTGCGTTTAGATTTTATTTTTCATCTGCTATATGCTATTATAAAGTGTTATAAAATTTATATTTGTTAAAGTAGGTATATACAAGGTGTTTCAATATTCCGTGGACATCAAACTACTATGTATTTTGGGATCACAATAAGTTAATTGGGCAATATATACCTCTATACAAAAGTACTTCGTTTGTCCGTTAGAGGACATGAAATTTTAGAAAAATAATCATTTTTAAAGAATTTTTTAAGATATTTTAAGATTCGAAAACCCGATTTGAGTGGGACTGGGGTATCTATTTTATGCTAAGCTCTTTAACATTTTACTAAGGGTGAACACTACCCCCACTCCTACATAAATTTTTGTAGAAATATTTTCCCACTCCACCGACGACTTATTTTTTTTGTAAAATGGTCCATCTGGTATTTACTACATTTTTTGTGTCTTTGTAAAAGCACACCACCGCACATGCTTTATGAGAATAAAAAGTGTTCCGAAGCTGACTAGTTGGTAGAAATGCGGAATGTTATGTCAGTGTCACAAATGACATTTGACAATAAGCTACCGAAATTTTAAATTAATTAACGTTTGGATTCATTTTTGATTGATGCCCTCTAACGCAGAAACAAGGTACATTTATATAGGGATAGATTGTGTTCAACTTATTTTGATTGCAAAAATATGTCTACAGAATATTGATACACCTTGTATATTTTAATTACTAGTTAATTTTAAATTTATTTATAATAAGAGTAAACGTATATTTTTATTATGTCATACGCGCGAGAAAAAAAAAGGGTGTCAGAGATGGTTTGGAAATGAAGATCGCTATTTTTTTCTATGTAAAATTATATAGGAAATATTATCGATTGTCATTTTTAAGCTAACTGGTCACCGTTTTTTTTTATAGTACGGTATTATTATATCGCTGTTATTTATTTCTATATAGGTATTAATTTAAACTTTTATTCCAGAATAAGAAGTATTAACATTTTTAGCTTTTATAATTTATATGCGTATGAACAAAAAAAATTGTATAACAATATTTATAATATATGTGTACTAGAAATGACTTAAATAAAAGAATTGTTAATATATATTAATATAATATAATTATGATACATGTCGTGCCTGTAATAATGTATTTACAGTGAGATCTTTCTAGGATTAAATTTATTATAGATAGTTTAGAAAAAAATCGGAAAAAAATAAAGATTTTTAATTTTTGTTGTTTTTAAAAATTATATTTTTTGTAAATTCTTATAAATATCTCTAAATTTTATTGTGAAATAGTATCTTGATTTATTAGGATTAAAAATTATACTTTTTGTGGCGAAGCTGTATGTTTGACTGTGACATTTTACTTTTATGCTTAGGCGTTAAAATATTTTTATATTTTTAATCATGTCGAAAAAATTAACACTTTTGTGTTTTTTAGGTTTAAAAAAGGTCTTTTTTGATTTATGCAAAACTCTATTGCAGACTCATAAGCGTCCTCATGTTTTCAAGAATTTTGAGTACTTATTGAAAGAAAAAATTGGAACATTTATTATTATAACAGAAAATCTATTATACATCAGTTTATTGAAATATTCAGTTTGATTTATTCTAAAATTTAGAGAAATTTTTAAGAGGTTACCAACTAAAACTTATTAGTGTACAAAATAGTATATATTATTAGTTATATATGAGCTTAGGTAACATAGTGATAATAAAGAAATATTTTCATGACCAGAGTAGGACTTAGATTTTATACCTTATGAAAAAGAACACAAGACATGCAACTAACAGTTATTTTGTGTAACTTTTGAAATGAGAATATATTATATAGTGACGATGTATTCTTGTTATTATTATTAGAGATGTGCGAGTAATTAAAAAAATCGTTTTTGTTGATGTCGATGAAAGATATTTGTTGGGCGATCTTAGTATCTTTTAAATAAATAATATATATGTTTAATAATCGTTGTTTTATTTATAAATGTTTTAAACGTTGTCAATAAATGTTATTGGATATTAAAATTGTCAATTAAACAGGCAACAAGAATTGTCAAAAATGGGGGTTTATGATTTTGTCCTAAGATTTTGTCTCTCAAAATTTTTGGCGCTGCTTTCAATGTAGAACTTTTGGTACAGTAGCACCATCTTAAGTGTTCTCTGTTTGATGAGCCCCCATTTATTTCAATATACGAAGATAATTCTACCTTACCTTCAACTAATAAACGGATAATCATTGGGCGCATCAACACGGAACTTTGTCTCAATTTTAGCCACCCTGTATATCTTACTGTAAAAAATAAAATCGATTAGACGTTATCTATCTGTAGATAAAGCTCTGAACTAACCGAAAGAACTTTGTATCATTGATTAGAAAATGATGGCAATCTATATATTGGTGAA